GAAAAAATCGTGCTTATTCGTTCTTGCCGATGGCGAGCGCTTCTGCACAACTATTTTTCTTTTGAAGGAAAGAGAAAAAAGATGGATGTCAATCGACGGTTTCTAAATAATACTTTTTTTGTGTCACTTCATTGCTCATTGAATGCAGCAATAGCTTTTAAAGATATAGTCAAAACAAAAACGACAACGTATATGGAAGCTTTCTGGACCCCCATGGATTTTAGATTTGTTTGATGAGATGGATTTACGTATAGCTCCTAATCATATTTCATAATTGAAATTTATGACACATAACATCATGGTTTTGGGGACCGGGGATAGTGACTGAACAACTCGTCGCAGGTGAGCGGATGTAGATGTTGGTACAGATGTGAGTATGGATCTTTTGTATACTCTCACTGACACCCTAGTCCACACACTCAAGAATATTTCGAAACAGATAAGAGTTTTCAAAAACGCGTTTAATTGCTCTAATCGCGATTCCTATTTCAGCTTTTTCATGTCTGCTCAGAAAACTCTAAAGCGAGCTATTTTCATTATAAAAGATTCTTAAAAGACACTTGTAAAAGTAAGTTTTACTTCTGAAAAATGTGCCAAAAGTACTCTCACACTATTTTTGACATGCACCACACCAGTATTGTAACCGACAAGGTTTTTTCCTTATCGGTACCGATGCTGGTTTAAATCGATCAGGTCGGATTGGAATGATCGATAAATCAGCATGAGTCAGCTTTCGCTTTTTTCATCCTGTAAGAGTCAAGTCAACCTTCGATTAGTCATATCTATCTCTGAATCACTACCGAAATTTGCGTAAGACTTCTGTTTCATTATTATAGTGCTTTTATGAAGGATGATTGTCAAGTAGTGTTGAAGTATATAGCAAGAAAATTGATCACATTTTATTCGGCTTGCTACAAAGACGATAACAAGCATACCGACGTTGTTTTAACCTACTGACACACTGTGGCAGAGATTTCAATATGCTTTTGGCGGCTTAGTGGATTCTCCGGCATGCTGTATTTTGGTGCTTGCATGGTCTATCATATAAACGATGAAGTGTTTCCGAGGTAGAAAAAACGAAAATTCTGTATATTACCGTACTTCAAGGCTATGCCAAAGCTGTATTTTATAACTTCTTAGCTATGTCAAATCTAGTATCGACATGTGTTGCGAGCATATCAGTTTGAATTTATTTTGTATAAGTCTGTTTGACCCTAAAAACCAAATATGTTTTCTTACTTCACTGATAATCAAATCTTGAAGATACAATGAAGCATTTGGCGCTTAGTCTCAGGTGAACTTATATAAAGTGAACTCAATCTAATATACTCGTGACGCGTAGGTTGATAGTAGACTTATAACAGCTAAAACCCCTAGAGGAAAGCTTTGACATATGCTTGAAGTACGATGAAATGCGGAGTTTTCGATTTTCTCTTCCTTGCGCTCCCCACAATAGTTAATGTAGTTTCATCCTGTTGAATATTTTAATCCAATAGAATTTGCGCTGAAATCTTTTTCTTCTCTATCTGTTTCTATAAGTTTTTTCTCATTTGAAATCTATCGATTTACGTACAATTTCATAGGACTACAAATTCTATATTAGTTTCGTACACTAGTGAACTGTTTGCCAGATAAATTATAAATCAACTGTAGATGTACTCTACATCTCACGATAGATTCAGTTCGTCATCTCTTTTGTCGCTACGACAGATATGATATAAATAATACTAAATGAAGATCCCTAGATAACAAATTACAATGACAAAAATGTGTTCCACTTTGTTTCGATGATATAGCTTGATATCGAGGTGACTTGATAAAATATATAAAACGTATTTTGATTAATACTGAGGCACCAGAAATATTCTAAAGTATTTTTTCCTTCGAAATAGCCCTTGATATAAGTAAAACAAGTTCAATTTGTCATAAACAAAACACATTTATAATCAATTTCTTGGAAAAAACATGCAAAAGCTTTAAAAAAATCTATACCGATCACTCAAGGAATCCTCTACCACACCGAAGTAGTCATTTATCGTTATCGGTTGCAACCCTGTACCACATATTAAAAAATATCATTCTTATCTGCAAAACACGACGACATATTTCGGCAAAGACGACTGGGCACATTTTTCAGTTGCAAAACTCGACTTTTAAAGTGCCTTCACGCATCTTTAGTGTTGAAAATAGCTCGTTTTAGTGTATTCTGACTTAATGTGGATACGCTCAGATGGGAACTGCGAGTAAGGTGATTAAACGCTTTTTCGAGAATTCTTATCTATTTGAGATGTGAATGTGGTTGGATGTATGGGAGTGTATGAATCGAGGTAAGCGTTGAAATTTCAATGTTTGAGCAACACACAAGAAAATTGCTTAAAAGAGTGTCCCTTTTGATCTAACTCATCCATTACATTTCATTCATATGTGATGATCTATACCATTGAAAAAGGCATTTATTGACTAATAATACAACAGTCACTTGCGATGATAACGACTGTCTTTTAAGAGGAAAAAAATGCACGCTTTATTATCTCTGTCTTTTTGTCAGCCATGTTATTGTCAATGAATATTAGTAATGCTACGAAAAAGCGTCCTGATAAATGTGCAACGATAGAACCAGTTAAATCTATCTAAAAAATATCGAGCGAGAAGAAAACGAAGGACAGCGATAATTTATGTTTTACCTCATTGTATGAACTAGATTTGTTGCAAATAGGAAGAAAGAATGAGAAAGAGAGAAATTTTCACTGTTACGCATTCGTTATCCTCGATTTTTCAAACTCATAACATTTGTTTCCCTTGTCATATAACGTCTCATTTGTTATACAATTTTTTCTAGCTTTAGATTTACAAACTAATGTCTTTGTGCGTATCTGAATCTGATGTTGAACAAAATTGTCATGAGAAAGATTCGAATAATTTGGGTCTTTTTGATCGCTATGATATTGTTATCAGATTCGATTCAGCAGAGGTTAAATAATAAAGAATGTCATTCTTATATCGTGGTTATTTTTCTTCTTTAGGATTTACCAAAGATGGATATCGTCGGACGTGGTGATCCATATTTTGTAGCAACCATTAATAACCAAATTTCATTCACGTAAGGCATTATGTAAGAAATAATTTTATAGATTGCAAGTATAATCGACACTATGAAAACGGTGTCACATTGACATTTAGACGATTTTCCATTCAGAATAAGTATCACTTCGGTTTTCATAATTCGATTTTGATCTGAACGAAATCTAAGCAAAGGGTGTTTTTACTATGACCAATTTTTTAAGCCCTGTCCGCATTATGAAATCTGCTTTGCTCGAAAACAAAATATCTAGCTAAAATTTCTATAGAACATATATCTGAATGTCTGTAATCCATAGTAAAACTATTAGTTCAAAATATTAAGGTGTTCAAAAGTTGTCATCGTATTGAGAGTAGAGACTTAGTTTTCCGTGTTTGAAAAATTTTTCTTTTACATTTAATGATACGAACTTGGACTCTATGTTGAAATGTAACTGATACATATCAATAAAACTTAACAGAATCTGATCTTTTTTTCAAAATTTTGCTTTTACTGTTTTCTGGTGAAAATTTTTCTTTAAAAAACCAAAAGAAAAAAGGTTCCTTTACCGAGAAAAAAATCAGTCTTATTCCACGACGTAACAGACAGAGGAAAACTCAGTACTGTGCAGTCAAAGTGCGTAATTTCCTCTTCCATTTAAAACCTTTTTGAACTTTCTAGAACGCAAAATGATCGAGATATGTTTCAGATAGAAATGATGAAAAAAAACAAAAGAATTCATTATCAGGAAAATGTACAATAAAAATATTCATTACGAAATTAAGTTTTTGTTCAACCCAACGTTCCACAAGAAACCTGAGTCGGAAGTTTGTGAGGGTGTGTATGACACATTAGCAGATATGTGCTAGCCGTATCTGCCATGTTTAAAACTCATATGGATGTTCAAAGCACTTCGACAACTAAGATTCACAAATTACTATTTAAGTGACGAACTTTTCAGAAAAGTGTCTGTAGAATCCATAGATAACATGGAAGAAACAGTGAATTAAAGAATATTGAAAAGCACAAAAGTTGCAGTATTCAAGTATATTTGAACTTGAAAATCATTAATCTAGACGAATTTTGAAATATTTGAGTGTAGATGATACGCTAGCCTTCAAATATATAATCCCTTACTTTTTCATCTGATTACATGACTAGGACATTGAAATATTAATACATGTACTATCGGTGAGAACATACGATGTATAAACGATAATAGCATTCCCATCTCATAATAAGTCATCAAATATAAAAGTGATTCGTTTCGGGAAACAGAATCGCCTTTCGTCATCAGTTGAAGTAACATAAGTCAGCTTGATTTCTTTCGATTGATTTCAGATCAACGATTTTGCCAAATACATCGTCACCCAAGTGGAACAACGAAAACTGGATCGTTCGAAATGTTCCCAACAATGCAAAACTATTTGTTACTATTTACGATAAAGACGACGAAAAAATAAAAGATGATTATGTGGGTAGATTTGAAATTCAGAACATTGTGAATTATAAAGCACCTGAAGATGGACATGGTATTATCGGTCCGTTGAATCTCTCTCGTGGTCGTTTCCATTTATCCATTGATGCCACCAAGTCATCTTGTGAAAGTCAACAACTACCAGATTATACATTCGATGGTCCTTGCCGATATTCTCGGCATGATGACCTTTTTGTTGGTCATCTTGCTATGCTTAATTCCGATTATGTATATTCAACATGGAAAATACAAATGCGACGAATTACTTTCTTTTTTCATCACCACGAATGTCACCATTGGAACCTAGAATCCAAAAAGGCTCAAATCATATTTGGTGATGGTCCTCTCTCGTTGACCACACGAGCTTCTCTTAGGCTGGCGCATAGAACACTCTATAGACGAACCTTGAAGAACACCGAAATCGGGCAATTAACCAGTAGTGATGATTTGTGGAAATTGGTGTTCATGAATAAAACAGAACAACGGATCAAACCGTGCATTTACACTTATATTATTGACGATTATACATGGCGATTCAGTGAGACTGGTAATAAATTTTTTGCTGACTTTGCAAGTAAGCATGCTTTACTTGCCAATGCTTCTGAGTACGTACATTATGCGGGTGAATTTCATCCACGCCCCAAACTTGGTTGGGATCGAAGTGATAGTGAATGGGAGCTCGTATTTGACAATGCATCGGGTACATATTCACCAAGTCCTGATTTATTCACAAATTTAAAAAAACTCCTATTGTTCAATTTTCCTGGCTTAAATGTTGTCACGTACGATTTTAGAGATCCATTACTCAAAGAAAGTATTCAGAAATTGAAATTAGCTGCTGAAAAATAAAAATATACCACGAAAATGATTCATCAACTTATTGTATTAACTGTCAATGAGCTACATAATGTGTCATGCAGAGATTTCAGCTGAATATGAACAAAAAACATTGACTCTTGGATTGTTCTAATGATTTTGGATTCTTTTTGGAGTCATTTCATTTAATCATATTTAGAATCAAATGAAGCAAAGTTACGAGCTTGTCTTTTTTTCAATTCATCAAGCATAGACTATTGTTCAGCACTATTCACCATAGAAGAAATAGGATTTTTAAAAATGTTTTTGTGCATTTCTCACAAATATTTTAGCTGCTAGTCGCATGATATTGTGCATGATTCGAGCATTTAAATGTTACGGATTCGACAATGAATTTTTCTTTCATTGACATTAAATAATCTGTTTCAGTTATTTATATTACGGAACTCGTTAAATTTCATCAGTTGATGAGTGCTTTACTAACTATCAATCTTTAAAGGTCTTAACATTTTTAGTTGTTGATCATTTTCTAATAATATTTTCAAATCGTGAACAAATTTTATGTATGACTCTATGAAAAATATGAATAATTAATCAAAAAGTAAAAAAATCTCATATTTCACTACCTACTGAATGTATTTTCTCTATATTTGTTTTAATAGATTTTTGTTTCATGAATATAATAAATGATGCCGATGAAATTCTCGAACTATCTTTGTTTTGAAAAACTGATTCGATCCTGGACACTCTGATATACACAACAATGCCGCATAAAAGTGCGACTAATTAACTGAGATATGAAAAACAATAAATTAGGCGAAACCTCATCTGAATGAGGGAATTCAACTTAGATTTCCTGTGATTAAAAGAGCCTAGGTAGCGTCCATTATTGGCGAAAGATAAAATGCACAATTTTCCATTTCGCCGATAGATTTTCGTTAAACGATATCTTGATAATGGATACCAAGCGCATTCGAAATTTGATCAAGAAATAGCACTATTAACTCTGGTAGAGACGATGGAAAATCCTTCTGTTCATTGGGGAAAGCATATGAATACAAAAATGAACCAATCATTGACATGAATGTTTTAATTCTAGCGAACAATGACATACTCGAGACATCAGTGTGATTGCTCAGTCAATATATATATTTATATATCCGACGGTTTGGAGAACAAGATAAACGAACGGATTATAATTGATTGATAGCAAGCTACTGTGAGCGCCACTGTATTGCAGTTACCTAGACAGTCAACAAAAATTTTCTAAACTTGACACTATCAACATAAGTTAAGTTGATTGATCGGAGACAACTTTAATAATAATTCATCATGAAACCAAAGATTTTTCGGCAATCGAATATTTGGTTTTTGGCTTTGTTGCAGATCAGCTTTGAATAAAGCCTCTTGCTTTTTTGACGAATAGAGTTCGAAGACAAATTCGTTGAAAAAAATCTCATTATCTGAAGAAACAAGTAATCTGCGCACTAAAGTCACTCGGGATACAGAAACACTAAAGGGCTGAAAACTTTTAACTTGTAATAATTCTCTCTTCAAATAAAATTTTTAACAAAGTCTGAGAAACAATTTTTCTTTCACGAGACTTTCCTCTATAAAACTCGTTTGAAATGAGATGTTCGAGAGATACTTAGCCTGCTCAATAGCAAGAATGAAGCAATCTTGGTTCCTGTCTTATCAGAAACAGTGAAAAATGTTTAAGAAAATCAAATACAGCGATAATATCACGAGATAGTTCTCCAACTTGAAAGAGCATACAGGAATAGATAGAAACCAAAAGTAAACTCTTCTATTTAATCTCATGCTTTTTCGGTTATTAATTTGTCAAATTTGTTCAAGAAAGATTGCTTCAAAGAGTGATCTGTATAGATGACAACATTCTATTAGTAATCACTCCACAAACGTGTTGATATGTTTGTTCGTGTATCGTAGAAATGTTTACATGTTTGAGAGATTGATTGAATCAAGGAGGTATTTGACATCGTCTTTGTTCTGTTGATCGAAAGAGTATTCGCTCAATCGGATGAAATTTATTCTAATAGAAGAGATATTCAAACTATCGTTTTTCTCACAAGTATCTTTTAATTTTAATCGATTACAATAAGACTTCAATTCTTTAGGATTGATCGTCCTTTGGAAAGTCCATCTCATTCGTCGAAATTCAGATAACTTGTTTCATCGATAAAATTTAATCTTAACTAGATTTTCCCCAAAAGTATCAAATCCCAGTGAGATAAACATCAAAAGAAGATTATGTTCAACAATCAAATTAAAAGACCGATTGTCAGTAAGTTTGCTCATCAAAAGAAAAGATATTTGGGGTTAAGAACCTTTTTTAATGAGAACAGATCGAATATTTTGAAGATTTTATGATGAAACCTCTCTGAATGAGAAATCGTTCTTCAGCTATAACATTTTTGTTACCAAGAAGAAACTCTCGATATTTTCACCCTATAAGTATTCCTTTCAACTGATCCATTGTTTCGTTGGGTTTCGATCAAATTGTTTCAATTTGAAAGACAATAAAACAATGATGTGTCGATCTTGAGATAAATGGAATGCGGAATTTAATTCGTTGAGACGGATAGTTCGTTTCGTTGAAGATTTCATTTAACTCATTGTGCATCGAATCTTTTTATGCTAAAGAAAATTGATTTCGAACAAGCGAAGATGACAGATCTTCATTAAATATTCGCCGAAATCAACCTTGAGAAAGCGTTTCTCAATAGAAAAAAGTTAGAGCTATAGTGTTGTCGAACGTCAACTACATTCAAGATCGAAATGAATTCGATGTGATCTTAGCTAATTGAAAGATTTGAACACAACCAATGATATTACTATCCTATGTGGTGATCGGACACTCATGCGTTGACAACGGTCACTAAAAGAATCCTCTATTTTGATACTGATTATGCGAATCTCTTCGGTTTATCGTTTTATCACATGAGTGTACATTGTCTTCAGCACATTTCTCAAAGTTCATAGATCTTTTCTTTTCTTCGGACATAAATAGCTAGTACATGTACCTCATATATTTTAATATAATTCTTTGTTCTTTTCAGGTCGACAGTTCGATACCAAAATCAATGGACAATGTTTTTATTCATAAACAAGAAGATTTTCTCTTATCAGATGAAAAGCAATTGCAAATTTAATATTTCAGTTCAAGGTTTTTTCCTTTTTTAGCTCGAATACTTCAAGCCAATACCTAAGAGATAATCAGTTTTTTCGAATTCAATGATATTTTTACCTCTACCGCACCTATTGTTACTGGAACTTATCGATCTCGTATATCTTTTCATAAAATTTCTTATCTAAATTGTTTTCTCTTTTTAGGCCAATCGATCGATGATCATCGCTGACATTGTGAATTTGTCTCAAAATAAAATCATCGGAGTCAATCAATCGATTGAACTTCTTCCGTAAGTAGATTTTTTTCTAACTATTTTAAGTCGATCGATCGATAAAATCTTTTTTTCCTTAAATTGGAATCGAATACTCTTCTTTTGGAATTTAGTTCACTTTGTGATAGCAAGACATAAATTTATAGCTGAATAATGAAATAAGTTACACGTATCAATGTGGATTCCTTGAAAGTTAGTCTTCGATTGTACTTGCCAATATTGATTTACCATACACTTTGAAACAAACAGATTCATTATTGAACCTTAAAATTTTCGTATTATGTTACGGAATTCTTTTAGATTTCGTAAAAATGAAAATAGTTTTTCACTTCTCGTATCACAACGTTTTTGGTTCACACAAAGTCGGCAAATGTAGTATGTTTCATATTAAATCATTTCTATTTTGAAATAAATAGCAAAGAGCTTTAGATTTCCTACATGAGGTCATTGCGTCTTACTAGAATCAAGAAAGATTTTCGTATCTTCCTTACAAAGCTCCGTATGGATCAGTAGAATAAGGAATGGTTCTGTCTATTTGGTAGAAAATCTCCGATGATTCCGCTCGATCAAAAAGAATTTTATGCTTTTTTCAGAACCTACGACATCTATTTGATATAATGGAAGCGTGAATACTACTTTTACTAGCTCCTTCATATTTCCGTAGAATATGAGAGGCATCATACTTTTCTTACCGAAATATTACTGTACTTTAAGAAGAGAAAAAAGTTCAATATATTTTCTACAAAACTTCTGCACCAGCGATTAGTGTCAAACGATTTTTTCGAACCTTTTTCTGTGTAGGTAACAATTGAAACTCTTCATATAGGATCATTTACGTGAATAGCATACCAAGATGTTTATGTAAAACAATTCGTCTAGGCAATGAATAAAAATAGTAACTGACTCATTGAAAAGACTCGATGTTTGATTATTAGAATAATATTTTCGTTTATCCATCGGTATCATTAACCACTGTAATTGTTACGAGTTAATATGATTGAAAGTCATTACACTTGATTTACTAGTGTGAAGGAATTAAGCGTAAAGAGTCGTTGCTATCATCTTTATTTTTCACTCTCTTTTTTTCGCTTCTGTAATACACAATTAGGCTATGTTCTCGCACGCCGATCTTACGAAGAGTGAAAGATAAGTTCGAGGCATATATACCTATTGTAGTCATAAGGTTCCAAACATAATCTTGATGCAGTGAGGAGTACAGAAATAAAGGAAAAATGGTAAGTAAATGAGGCTCATGTTATCGATGTACGGGTCGGTATGAAATCTGTTGTACCAAACCTTATTTTTAATTTGGAAAAAGTCTAGGTGTTTAACCCTACTACAAAGCTTTTGCTGCTGCAAATAAGCAACCGTTTGATATGAAACCTGTCTATATACAGAACCAAAAAAAGTTTTGAGTTTGTGTCCGCGCAAGAAATCTTTTTAGGCTTCGAGAATGAAAACTGTGTTATTAGAGTGTAGATCAAAGTTTGTATGTCTTCTAGACTTGAATGGCAACAAATGTCGATTTTCCACTACTGAAGATAATTTCGCGAATTTTATTGTGATCAATAATACTTTTCTTGATACGATAAATATCAAAACTGAATTTAA